CTAGAGCTGCTGTTACTGCGGCTAAGACTGCCGCTTGGAAAGCCGCAGAGTTCATTTCCGGCGGGGGCGGCGGTGGTGGTGGTGTGTTGTTGTTCCTACGGGTCGATCTCCTCGGAATCTTTTTGTCATGGCACAGAAGGACAATGAGTAAATTCAACATCGTTTGGGCTAGAGCTGCTCTATTCCAATGTATTTTGTTTCATGATTTCCTTGATTATTGGATAGTATTGGTGATTCGGTTGCATATAACTAGTGTGTGCATAAATTCAACATGTAATAATGGTAATAGAGCACATAACAAGCAACACATCACAAGAAAATATATATCCGATTTTCATTAATAATAATCTTTTGAGTACATGAAAATTTTGCCTTATAACGGCATACAATACACGCAGTGAAATAAAAGCTAACACGAAATACATCGGGTAGTGCACAGAAGGAAATCGATACGGCTGTGAGTGAACAGGTACTAGTCGCGGCGAGTCGGTTCTAGTGGTGCAGATGATGAAGTAGACGCGCCCTGGAGCTCAGCTAACCTGCGTTCGGTGATCCGTACATGCTCCTCCAAAGCGGCGTGTCGCTCCTGGTACTCTCTAACCTCCACTCGCGCAGTGGCAAGATCTTCCTCGAGTCGTTCTATTGGGTATAAGTCTCGCTCTAGGTCTCGCGTGCAAGTATCCGTGACCTGCATGGCCGCTCGCATCTGTACTACCCGGTCGGCGGTCACTTGAGCCTGGGCACCGATGTCCCTAATACGTCTGACCACAACAGGGTGTGCGCGATCTGCTGGTCCTCCATGCCGAAGATCGTAGTAACCTCGGTTCATCCCAAATGGTGGTTGTTGACCCTGGCGTCGGCCCCACCTCTCGATATCGTCAGCCCAAGGAGGTGTAGGGCCATTGTAGCCCATCCTATGCGGTGGTACCCTTGCCATGTAGGGAGGGTTGATAACTTCAGACTTTGCGTCTGATTCCTCGTCCTCCTCAACCTCTTCCTCGTCATCTTCCTCATCGATGTCCTCTTCCTCCAACTCTATCGGTTCTTCAGGGTCCTCCATGGGTTCCTCGGGGTCTTCTTCTGGGTCTTCCTCAATCCAACCTCCATTCCCTTAATTGGGAAAGTAAGGGTCTCTAGGGAGATGAAATCCACCCATAGAGTTTGCACAAGAGGCGAGAAATGGGTAAGGAGAGTGTGTGCGTAAATAGGTTCAAAAATACTCCTATAGTATTTTAATTGTTTAGGTTTGGTTCCTTACAACTTTTGAACTTAGTTTTGGTAAGTTTCTAGTTCATTAGGCACCATAATCACTCCCAAGCACATGTTAGTCGTATTCTGAATAAATATAGTTGATCAGGCTATATTTACCCCTAATACGATTACATAACTGCCCGGGTTTAACCGTGATGTCCAACTCTTCCAAAAACTTTTGTTTGTGTCCTTGTTATGATACAGCCTTAGCAAGTATGTATACTTTTAGTCAGAGTGTTTTAGTCCCATTCTATTTATAGTTGTATATCTTGTATGGCTAGATATACTAGTTCACTATAAACAATGCTCTGATACCAATCTGTCACACCCCCGAACCAGAACGGCGGAAACGTCCGGAGGCGGGTGACTTCATCGTGTAGTATCATAACAATTGCATATAAATGAAACATAGCAAATCCAAACATCATACATTATAACAAGCTTACATTTGTTTTACATCGTGTTTATGTTCTCAAATATTACACAAAAGAGACATTAGTAAGCAAATTCCAAAAGATAGCAAAATAATCTTGAGTCCACGATCCAACAACCTGCTTATTGGTTTCCTGAGAATACAAGTCGTTTGAAAAGCGTCAACATAAAATATGTTGGTGAGTTCATAAGCATTTTCGTATAAAACTTGATGATAGTTTAGAAATCCAGAAAATCCAATATTTTCTTAACAAAATCGTTGTAAGTCTTGTTTCAAATCGAGTATAATTGCATGTGTGCCTTAGTTCTTTGTTTTCAAAATCGTATAAAATCGTTTCCTCCAGAAAATCCTATATTTTCTGATGTATAAAATAGTAGCTTTTAAAACAATAACACTTGTGTGAAAAGTCTCGTTTGAGGTGATTCAAAACACAGTTGATTATAAACCAAAGGTGAAATCTGTATAAGTACACTTCTGATATATTCTAGTGAGTCGTTGTAACCATACTAATATGACGGAGTGCCTGTTATGACGTTCTTCAGGCGTCGGTTTGTTCAAGACATTTGTCACCCTAGACTGGCCGGTCTAGCTGTAGCGAACAGCGAAGGTGCGGGGTGTCAACCCCGTATAGATCTATACACAAATTCCCGTTCCCCCTCCAGCAGACTCTGGTTATAACTCTTACAGGACTTTTAGGCGTACACTATTGTATATAATATATGTACTGTGAAGATTTGTCTGACTAGAATACTAACAGTTTCGAGTAAATCATTGAGATCCATTATTTACTAAATAAATAATAATAGTTGTACTCGTTGACTAAATATTTCGTTTCGTTTCGTTTGTTGAAAATAATCCGCTTTAAATGTTTATCAAATCGATTCAATAGTAGCAAAGTCGGATAAAATGGCTTTCCTCTCTATATATTACTAAGTCATATCCCATTTACCGGAAAATGTCAAGTTATGATTTGTGTAAAACTATGCCTTGTGTGAAGTTATGACAGCAGCTTTATGACTTGCGAAATTTTCTATCATAAAGTTTCTATTTGCATATAATTCTTGGTGAACTTACTTATATCAATTTTTTATAAATAACACCTTTACAGTTTGCAAATAGTCATTTATGGAACACAAAGTTCCAATTTCGAAATTCTAGACTTAGTGTCAACATTTCAAGGTCTATTTCAGCAACTTTTATTTCTAGTTATGAAAAACATGGATACAAGGGTGCATGTTGAACACTCCCCAAAACTTGGGAGGCTCCTTTTGTAAATTGTATTGTTCATGTAGTGATTAAAATATTATTTGTTTTCATGGGTTCTGTGAAACCTCACTTTCACAGGGAGTTGCAAAAAAAAATATAATAATATGTCAACACACATAGCAAACACACGTATACATGCAATCATTCAAGAATTTAGAACAAGAGATGACTTGTACTCTCCCCCAAAATCAATAAAAGCTTAGTAAAAAGATGGGGTATGAAGCTCACCTTGGTTTAGCTTGTTGGGTGATTTGAAGAGGTGTAAGGAGTTTCCAAGTTCCAGCACTTGGAAGTGTTCTTTGAACTTTAGAAAATCCTAAGGATAATTCTATGTGTAAATATAAGGAAGTCTTAGGAACAATATGAAGAATCACTAGTAAAAGAGGATGAATACTTACAAAAATTCTGGAAATTTTCCTTGGAGGAATGAAGCTTGAGTCTTGAAGGAGTTTGAGAGAATTCTTAGGAGTTTACTGGATGAGGAAGTGAGAAGTGGAATAAGGGAGGAAAAGAGATTCACGTATCTGAAGGGGAGGATAAGGGAGTGACTTGACACTTGCATGTAAAACTGGTGGGTAAAGCTCCTTTTCTTATGGACAATGTGTGTTTATATGGGATTTGCATGGGAAATGAGGAATCAACATCCCATCATAAAGTCAAACCCCTTCCTCTTCTAAAAATCTCTTTAAAATCTTGGGTATTATTTTATATAAATATATTAAAATAATTGATTTTGTCATAAAATAGTGATTTAAGGGGTCTAAGATAGGAAAAATATGAGTTTGGTGTGATTTCCACCATCAAAATGCCTTATAATGGTAAAAAGGTCCGAAAATGATGAAAATCCGGAGTGGGATGTTGTTCCTGCGAGGGTCCGAAGGGTTTAGGAGGTTTTCCGGAGTCATCTTCTAAGTTCCGTAACAAGGAGTGCATTTCCGAAGTCAATAGTAGAATCCGGAGCATGTCCCTCGGAACCGGAGTCAGGAGCGAAGCCAGCAGGTCCGGACCGAGGATTCCGAAGCGAGTCTATTCCGGAGTGAAGCGAGGTCTGAAGCAAGCATTGACCCTTCCGGAGCATGTAAGATCCGAAGATGCACTCCTCTTGGTTCCGGACCAAGAGGGTTCCGGATCAGGAGGGTTCCGGAGCAAGAGGTTCCGGACCAAGAGGGTTCCGGATCAGGAGGGTTCCGGAGCAAGAGGTTCCGGACCAAGAGGGTTCCGGACCAAGAGGGTTCCGAAGCAAGAGGTTCCGGACCAAAATGTTCCTATTGGGTTTTCTTCTCCGGTTTTGGGCTGTTTTCGACTAAGGAAGGTACATAGGGAGATTTGGGAGAGATTTCACATACTTGGAGAGATTTGGGAGAGATTTCATATTCTTGGAGAGATTTCGGAGAGATTTCACATACTTGGAGAGATTTGGGAGAGATTTGATATTCATGGAGAGATTTGGGAGAGACTTCATATTTTTGGAAGAGATTTGATATTCTTGGAGAGATTTGGGAGAGACTTCATATTTTTGGGAGAGATTTGACATTCTTGGAGAGATTTGGGAGAGACTTTATATTCTAGGAGAGATTTGGGAGAGATCTTATATTCTTAGAGAGATTTGGAGAGAGACTTCATATTCTTGGAGAGATTATGGAGAGATCGTATATTCTTAGAGAGATTTGGAGAGAGACTTCATTTTCTTGGAGAGATTTTGGAGAGAGAGAGAGATACAGTGGGAGAGATTGAGAGAGACTTTGCCAGGGGCCTTTATTAATGTTCTTCTTCGTAGTTCAAAGGTCGTAGACTTAGTTACATCCCATTTCGAGTGTTATATACACCCGAAGGGCACTTACTAATGTTTTATAGAGCTATTACTTCCTTAATAAGATTAGGGTTTTAAATTCTAAACATTTGAAACCTTCAAGTGCTACTTTGCATTAAGATTTATTGTCATATATTAGAAAAACATAAGGTAATTCCTAACATATAAGCACTAGATGAGTTGACCAGTTGCCCCATTGACCTTGACTTGACTTAAACTTGACCAGAAACTTGCCGGTTGTCACAGTGTAGCAATTGAGCTCTCACCTATGTTGTTGTCTCCAACCATCTTGTCTACAATATTCATACCTTTTGGATCATGTTTTGGTGTAACAATTGAGCTCTCACATGTGTTGTCTCCAACCACCTTCTCTAGAATATTCTCTTCCCTAATCTTCTCCCCAACAATCATTTCACCACCCTCTACAAGATTTTTGCACTTAACATTCCCTTCTAAATTCTTCTTTCCAACGGTTTCCTCAATATTATTCCCCTCTAAAGCCAAATTCATTTTGTCGTCAACATTTATGTCTTCAATTTTTTTTTGTCTTTTATGATTGTTCGGATGTCCAATAGTTTCCTCACCAGTATTACTCTCTAAACCCAAATTTATTAGGTCGTCAACATTCATATCTTGATCTTCTGTTTGTCTTTCTTGATTCTCTGGAAACTTCTCTTGTAATGGTTTAACAGTTAAAAATTCAACCAACTTTGTATTCATTTGTTCATGCTTATCATCATCAAAATCAGAATTATTTGTTTTATTATGCTCTTCAACTCTATCTGCTTTGACTTCAGTTCTCTCCTTCATAATTTCTGATTTTTCTCGATTAGAAAAAAGTTTAGTTGAAAATATGTATCTAAACATCCTTATCATCTCCTTCGTTCTATTGTCTTCGGGGAATTTCGATAGACAATGAAAAATAATATCTTCCATATTTTCCTTTTCAGTTGAGACATTGTTGAAAATTGTTTCATACTTTTCTTCATACTCCTGGGAAAAAAGACATTAGAATATTTTTCTTACATTAAATTAGGACATAATTAAAATATATTCTAAAATATAATTAAATAATATATTCTATTTAGAATATACCTCAATACGTATGTCCTGATTCTTATTCTTGTCACCTTCTAAATTTGAATTTTGTTCAATTAGATTTCCAACACCAAATCCACCAGCTTCAATCTCAAAAGAATGTCTTTCCTTCAACTTATCTGTTGTCCACATCATAACTAATGGTGTTTTACGTTTTATCTTTTGGAGCTTGCATTCAATTTCATCGCAGTAAATTAGCTGCATTATTTAAACATCATATTAGATATCCATTATTAAGAAAAAAAATAAGTACATGAAAAAACATATCAATAGCAACAATATCGGTCCTCTGTAATAACACTTGGGGTTGTGTAGACGCCATCTCCCTTTTCAATTTTTCACATAGTACAACAGATACCCACACCAATCGATTTTAGAAATGACATTTACTTCAACAAGTGCTCTAAATGGAACTAAGTTGTTTGTCCCCATGGGAATGGATTCTGCAAACGTATTAACAAATAAAGCTATGAAACCCAACTTGAAATTCATATCGACTTGTTGGGATTTTTGAATAATCTTCTTGGAGTTTGTTGCATGTTCCTTTCCACCTTCAAGTTCCTTCATCCATCTATCAAACACTTGATGATTTACGCTAACCATATCCAAGTCAAATAATATTTTTTCAGTTTTGGGTAAACCGAACACTTATGAGTTTTTTTCTTTGTGATCTTTATTCTTTTTCCGCGAATCAGAATACTATTAGTTCCTTCGTAATAATGCTCCAGCACAAAATGGAAAAGTTTTAAGGGAATACTCTTAAATTTGATCTTCAAAAATGCTTTAAATCCCATCCGTTTCACCCAATATTTTTGTTCTGATGTCAAAGAACTTACAGCCTCCGTCATCAATGCAGGTTTCGATCAAGTGTTTATTGAAGGCAACTCCTTCAATATATCTTTTACAGTCTTTTGCTCTTTCACAGTTTTTTGCTTCATTAATCTTTCTCACTCCTTTAACATATTTTCTATCACCTGCTCTCTTTTTCACATAGATTTCTTCATCGGAATCATCATCTAATTCATTACATCTGTCATAAATGTTAGTAATACCACAAAAAAATAAAGTATTATAACTAATTAAAAAGTAATATTCCAACATGATATTATACATATACACTTATTATATCAGAATATTCTATGAAATTTAATCCAAAAATCCTATATCATCTATGTAAAATGTAGATATTTATTCAAATTATAATATTTATAAAAATTAAACTTCAATGTTGCAAAATCCAACATCAGCTAAGTAAAACAACAAAAATCAAGTAATATATGATTTACCATATCAGAATATCTAGAATATGTAATATGAACCATAAACATTTCATATCACAATACTTTCATATCAGACAATGTACTTTCCTTTTTACATATTATAGAAACATACTTTCATATCAAAATACCTAGAATTTCAGTTATGATCCATAAGCAATTCATGTCATATTTTAACTTATGCTATGAAAATTATTGTTAGAATGTAACACTACTGAAAACCACAATAAATTTAAACTTTTCAAAATCACACTGGAGTTATAAAATGTTTACAAAACAAGTTTCCCAAAATATTTATCCAAGATCAGAGTATCCTAAAATCATAAAAATCGATAACAAGGAAATGTGTACTGTCACGCCTTTGCCTTCCATCGATCATCTGAAGTACCTGAAACAATAAACTGAAACCGTAAGCCAAAGCTTAGTGAATTCCCCAAAAGTACCAGCACAAACAGATAACATATACAATCAAACATGTCGGGTCCAATCAACCATCGGGTTGGAATACCCTAGGCCCAGTCAATCATAGGGTCCAGTCATCCTCGGGATGGAATACTGTAACACCTGTTCCAGGTATCATTTAATTTTCTAAGTTTTAGGGTTTTGTGCTGGGAATCGAAGAGTTGGGGAGCTCCAACTCATCAAGTAGAGAGTATTTATGAGGACGCGGGATTTAGATCCTACTCGACGAGTCGGAAGGCCCCGACTCGGCGAGTAGGCGCTGTAAAGGAAAACCTAATTTTTAGGGTTTGCACCCTATATAAAGGACTTAATCTGCCTCTTGTGGCCTCCCTTACCACTTCATTACCCAAAGAAGAAACCCTAGCCGTTCTTTGTTGCTTCCTTGTGCTTTAGAGGCTAAGAGAGTGTTTTTGGTGCAACTTGTTGAAGAAGTTTGAAGGTTGAGAAGCTTGGAACGGGAAGGAGCTAGTAGATCCAACATCTGCATCGTTTGGGCTTCCATTTGAAGGTAACAACATAAAATACTAGTTAGGAGTTTACCTCTTTATGTAGCTTGTAGAACTTGTTGTATTTGGCCTTTAAGAACTTAGCACCCAAAGTGTGATGCCTCAAACGGTTCACAACACACCTAGGACAAAGGAGAACTTGAGAGAAGGGTTGCTAGCTTCAAAATCAGCTTCGATGAACTCCAAGAACATGTCTAGCCCATATTAGGGTATGAGAAACATATATATAGTGTAGGATTCCAAAGGTCATGGGTAAACCCTAATCCATACACATGTGTTATGATCCATGGTTCATGTGGGCTAACTCTTTATGGATCCTTACATAAACTTAGTCCAACATGGATCAATAGCCCAATCCATATGTTTCACTAATTACCATAATTAGTCCCCATTAATTTAATTAGTCTCTTTTGATCACAAAATTAATTTCAAATTAATTCTTGATCAATACTAATTAAGTCATATGATTTCATATTAATATATTAGAACTTATAATATATTAATAAATCATAAATAACCTCTTCTCAAAAGTCCATCCTAACAAATTGTACTGGTGATATGAAACCCGAAATGGACCATGCTACTCTCGGTTCAAGTACATACCAATAATAGTTATTGGCTTAGACACCTAATCCAACAGTCACCCACTTGGATAAGTCTAATAACTATTATTGCAAGTACGAATCCAAAATCCCGACTAGCAATCATTCTCTTTGTCCATCTGTTGTTTCCCGATTTCCGATTTATGACGACTGACTAATTGAACAAATCAAAACAGTCTAGGCTTGGCCAAGCACTTAGGTTTGTCATCACTAAAACATCGAGGGGGCCATAGATATCGCTTTTATCCCTCTAAGGTTAAAAGGAATGGATAAACTTCGACTCAAATGATTGTTTGTATTTACTCATCAAATCACACACAACAATATGTTTTATAACACCAAGTTAGTGGTGTGTTTACATACGTCAATGTGCAACCGACTTGTAAACTACAACTCACATGTCTTGGTTTCAAGAATCTAAGATATTATCGTCTCACAATCACTCGTGATAAAATCCATGAAGTGATTCATATGAGCGTGGGTTTAATCCAATACTCGGATCTTATTCCAGACGTACTCATGAACACTGCAGCAAACTTGTGATATGTCTAACACACCTAGATAATCTACAGTCAGGTTCATGACAGTCTTGCCTCAATACCTACTTCCAAAGTATAATTGACTGTGGATGGTTTGAATAACCTAGTTATTCTGGAAGTCAAAACATGCAAAGTGAAACACAAGAATAATCGAATCCAATATGATCTCAGAACTTGTGAATATAAATAAAGCACCTTTTATTTAATCACCATATTGATTACACATTAATACTTGAATTCAAACAACAGCTATGCCATGCTCCAAGCATGCATACTATGTTTTCCTATGGTCCTTTCTTTGTGAAAAAGATCTATTGAAAGCATTTCAATGACACTCATTTCACAATTCCAAATCCTTATCGTAAATGTAAGAATACCAAATTCTTGCCATTAGCTATAATCTGTTAGATTTTAAACTTATATGCAATGATCTTCTTGTAATGACTATGCATAAAAGTCACAGAGACTTGGCAACAGACACTACAAAGTACTCCAATGGAGAGCAATTCCATGGTAACGAAGTCTCACATTAAAAGTACATTCCTTTGAACATCCTTCTTGCATTAAGTTTTTTAATCTTACAAATATTTAAGAATAACTTCCACTTATGGAAACATTTCTATATTCCCATTTTGACTATCACTTGTGAACAATAGTTACCTCTTCTCAGAGTATGTCAATATGGTCCTTCCAAAATTCAGAATATACTTCCAACTGTCCATAAGCAACCAATCTTTGGTAAACCTCAGATTGTCCTCGACAATTGCTTAACCATTTTAGTCATATCTCGTTCTAGTCCCTTTTCCCTATTAATGCCCTAGGCATATGGAAAACTAGAACAGGAGAATATTATATCACATGAAATCGATCCTATATCTGAAGCATATAGGACACGATTCATATTAACAACCTGATACTTTACCAGTCTGTTGCTATAACATTTCCATATATAGAATTTCCTTATTTCAAATCTTTTCAACATAACATTCATATATGTCATTGACTAAATTTGATTAAGATCTCACAATCTAAGCTTTTAGAATTGAAATGAAGTATAAATTCCTCTCCCTTAATTATAGCAAAACAACTTTTCAAACTCTGCAACTTTGCAAATTGAAACTTTTGTTTTTCTATAATTAACATTGCTAACTTGCAACACTTACCATAATAATTATGATCCCACTAGCATAATTATTATCTTACTAGCATAACACTTATGCTCCCACTAGCTTTGACATGTACTCATAAATCAGCTGGACTTCTAGAAATCAATACTTATTGACTTTCTTACCAAAGTTCAGATTTCTGACATGAGATGCTTCGATAAGACTTTATATAGGCTCCTCAAACTTATACACCTTTCCTTAGATAGCTCACATGTGTGTCTAAACAGTTTTAGGACTTACAGCAATAAGTCTCAAATGTTTAGAGCTTTTTCCATTTCTCACAATTCGAACTATGAAGAGGGATGCCGTAATCATAATCGAATTTGAGAATGCAAATGTCACAATTGCTATCTCCTTAAAATCTACTTAGTGAAAGCGTTTCCTCACAATCATTTTCATGAATTTGAGAGAAACTTTATGACACTTAGATTTTATGGTGTATGTGTTCCTATCCATGTGAATTTGTCATAACCATAAACACAAGACAAGGTTAGTGACAAATCCAAACTCATATGGAATGAACTTGTTCAATCTTAATTTCTTGCCACCTGGCATCACAAGGGCCTACCATTGCTTCCAAGTTGTTATGCAAACAATTGAGCACTCATGGAACTCACATGCATAGTCAACTATAACTAGAATGGGCACAGAAACAAGAATATGTCAACACGATAGGTTACAAACCTTAAGTCGTGTGCCAGTGATTAACAATAGGTTTACTCTTGATTAGTTCTTGAAGCTATTCAAGATCCTTAAGACTCCCACTGACCTCTTGACATATAAGATTCACTTTGTCAAGGAACATTACTTGACAAACAAATACTCAAGATTTAGTGCGGTTTCTTATCACGACAAACACTTCACATAATTGGTCTTAGTTGGTCTTTGTCTTATCCAAAACATCACAACTTTCCAATTTCAAATGTACAAGAGTAAGAAACATTTTACTCTACATTTGACGAGTGTTATAAACCGTTCTTAAGACCATGTCACTCAAGTTACAATCTTGGAGTATGACTCTAACACCTGATTTTGGAACGAAGTATGATTT